GAAGAGGGATCATCCCAGGCAAGAAAGGGAAGAGGGATCATCCCAGGCAAGAAAGGGAAGAGGGATCGTCCCAGGTAAAAAGAGAAGACGGATCGTCCCAGGCAGGAAAGGAGGGATCATCCCAGGTAAGAAAGGGAAGAGGGATCATCCCAGGGTGCTGGGGCCGGCACAGCACTCCTGGATTGTCACCACCCGAGAGGCCTCTGTCCCTCCTCCCACGCAGCCCTCACGGCTCCTAAGAACACTGCGTTTGGTGCCTGTATGTGGAACGCACAGCTGGCAGCTTTGTTCCCTTTCAAGCTAAAACTTCCCTTGTTTACCAGCCCAATACATTTCTATCCATTCTAATACATTTCATACGTTCTAATACAGAACAGCAGCCTATCTCGGTGCAAGCTCAGTCATTCCAAAGGCTTCTCCTCACCTTGCCGCACAAGTAAATAATGTTGGTGTCTGGATCGTAGAACGGCAGCAGGACCCCATTGCTGGTGTCCATCTCGTGAAGGGCTATTGGCTCCTCCAGGTTTTTCTGGAAATAAAAGCATCAGTTATGTTAGAGAAGGACTGAAGGGCTCATGTCAACACGCGACCTAAATTACTGGCAATTCTTTGGAGCTGGAGGAGCGTTCAGCAGTGTCTTCATCACTGAGGGTGATGAAGTGATCTGTTACAATACCTGTCACTGTAAATGTTCACAAGCTCCTTCATTCCTCAATGACACTTTAAGCACAAAACGCATTAAAACAGCACACGGGATAATTCACAAAGCCAGGAAGAGGGCTCAAGAGGGGCACGTTAACAAGCGCCTCCTCCCTGTGTGGTGACACTGCTCTGTGCTGCTTTGCACTTGGAATGGAAGCGACGCTCACACGGCTGCTCACGAGGCTGCTCGTGCCCCGGACCGACCGAAACCACCGCCTCCACTGAGCAAACAGCAAGCGTAARCTGCACGTCAGTGCTTCCTGACACAGAAACTCTGAGCAAGATAAAGCAACAGGTGGAAAAGGGAACGTCCTCAGATATGTGACCTAGGAATGTGGCCGGAGCCTGCAGGTTTGGGCTAGCAATCCTGACCACGATGTGGCAGCAGCAAAGCAGTGACGGGCCAGGCACGTACGGGATTCCAGAGCGCGAGCTGCCGTTCGCTCATGCGGCTGAAGCCGGTCGTGAAGATGTTGCCGTCGGCGAGGAAAATGGCCCGCATGGGCCGGGCTCCCTCGTGGGTCTTCTCTTTCTCCTGGAAGGGAGGTGCAGGTTAATGGAGGGACCGCAAGGCCGGCCTGCGCCGCTCCAGCCGCGCGCGACGCTGCGGGACGCGCTGCGCCCGCGGCAGGACGCTGGCTGCACAGGGGATCGTCCACAGGGGATGCCCCGTGCTTCAGGGAAGCCCAAAATTACTGAGCACTAAGTGGTGGTCACGGACGGTTCACGTCAGCCTTGCCTGTCACATCCCTACGAGGTTAAAGCAGGTTTCTCTGCAAGCTAGGACACATATGGAGGCTGCTAAATCTCCCTTTTGCACACACAACTCTGGCAAGGCTATTGTGTGAAAGGATTAGATGAGGAATTACACTTCTGCAGGTTTAAAGCTGAGCCCTAAAAATCACAGTTCGAACGCTAATTCCAGCAAACCTGGACAAATCCTGCGACCAGTGCTATCCTTACGGTAGGCTGCAGTGAAATCCAACTGCATTTGCAATTATCATGCCAACTTACAGCAATGATTTCCTGTTTCCTGGGGTCAATAATTCGAACTTTTTTGTCTTTGGAAGATGTGCAGATGAGGCTGCCATTGCGGTTCCAGCTCACGTTGTAAATCACATCCACGTGCATGTCATCTAAGTTGATAAGGGCTTCCCCGGTGCCCACGTTCCAGATGATGATTGCGTTATCRCAACCTGGAAGAGAAGAGCAGCTCAAAATCACGACACCAGCGCAAAGGGAAACCACGCCGGGCTCCTCTGCGTGTGCTGGGACTCTGAGGACAACTCCATGGGCAAAAGGATAAAGCCAAGAACTTGCCAGGTGGACACAGAGAACCAGGCATGGACATTCCTGAGGTGCTGTGACTCCCCAAGGCCAAGAAAAAGCAAATTGCACCCAGACCTTTCCATCCCGGGGGCCAGAAACAGGCTGTCCTCCAAGGAACTGGTGTCCAGGGCATCTCCTGTTTCTGGTGGGCAGCATGTGGACTCGTTTGGCCCCGAGGCAGAGCTCTTGGCCGCGCTATCAAAGCTCCACGTGCCGCTTTAGCAGCCTCAGCAGCCCAGAGCACACGCTCCAAGGGATGCTCTGCGCTCAGCGTTGCCAGAGAGCAAACTCAAAAATTAAAAAAATAACGCAGGAGAGAAACAGAAAGAGCTGGAGGAGGTGCAGGAAAGGCTCTGCTGCTGCTCGCTGCGCATTCTGTGCAGGAGCTCTTGGCTCAAGCATCAGAGACAAGCAGGGCAAAGAGGCAACGTTCTCACGCCTCTGCAGTGCCAGCCCGYTGCCTTCTCAGGTTTGCAGCACGCGGGGAGGAGCGGCAGGACGGGGCACGGAGCTGAGAGACAGCACGGGCAAAGCGGGAGCGGGGCAGGGTGCGGGCGAGGGCGGGCGCTGAGTTCAGCGCCTCGCGGGACCGCGGCCGGGCGCGTCTCGTCACCAAGCAGAAGGAAAGAAGATGTAGAATAAAGATGAAAAGAAGATAATAGCAAGACTGAAATCAAAACAAAAAATGCCATAAAATCACCAGGTGATCACCAGGCGAAAGCACAGTGGGAAACATGGGGATTTTTCCTAAGACTCAAGAGGGTAAAACCCTTCGTGGARGCAAAAGATCATCTCCGTCACTGTCAACTCCCAAAGGGCACCAACGACACCCAAACCCAGCTTGTGGCCACCAAGCAAACACAGCCCTGGTGACAGTGAGGACTTGATGGTCAGCATCCTTTCTCCTCCCTCTTAGGAGGAATTCTGGCCAGGATGGCAGGATTAGGAGGTATCCAGACCACACAGATACCCATCATCTGCTGCTTGCACTCGCAGGCAAAATCAACYTTCTCAGTTAACTATGAAAAATCACCTTTTCCTTTTCCGTGTTTGCATACTGAGCTTCATTACATGAGCTGCTCCAAGGTCTGCAGACCACAGCGTTGCTGGCAAAACCAGATCAAAGCCCAGCAGCTCCATCAGAAGCATCTGCATCCGTAGAAATGCAGAGCTCATCTGGCAGCCCAGCTGAAATGATTTGATTTCTCTGACCATGCTCAAACCTAAAGGTCAGGTAATGAAAACCTCACCCCGTRCTAATGGATAATGGCTTCTCTATTTTATTTCCATAATAATGTGGCTGTTTTTCAGTGGCCAAAGGAATCTCATTGCACAGACTGTATGAGTCAAGCAGACAACATGGCAAATGCTGAGGATGAAAGTGTGTGAAGGGAACATCCCGGCACCGAGAGCAGGGAACAGGAAAAGCAGTTGGGGCTCTTGTAAAAGAGGATGAAAACAGGGATGAGGGGAAGACATAYGTAAACAGTTATCAGCTGATTAAACCAGCAGATCAAATAAAGTCTGGAACCATTTTAATACTGTAAATCACTTCCTGGGACAATTCCCTGGGTCTTGTCACTAAACTGGAGACAGTGAAAGGCCGAGACAAGGATGGGCTGCGAGCCACGTGTCCCGGTGTCCCGGGGCCCCGCGCGGGCCCTTTGCTCCTACCTGCGCTGAGCAGCACGTTGCGCGCGGTCGGGTGCCAAGCCACGATGCCCACCCGCTTGGAATGGCCTTCCAGGACTACCACCGGCTCCGTCAAGGACAGCGTGAGGCCGTTCTCGGGGATCTGCCACACCTGCAAGCGGGAAGCGAGAGAGCGTTAGCCAAGGAGCAGCACCCACGGGGCAGCAACGTCTCTGCTGATCCGTGTGGACATGGGCAGCAAGTCCAAGGTGTCCCAAGTCACCACCAAGTCTCCGGCCTCCCCATCTGGAAGACCCCTCCTCATTCATGCTGCCAGTGCCAGACCACAGGCTAGTTACACTCCACATCCACATTATCCCTGTGCCAGAGACCCGGTGGGGACAGATGCAGCCTAAGAAAAACCCCAAACAAACYGCCCTGCAGCAAAAACTCTGTCTGAGCAAGCTGGGGGCTCTTTAGACTACACCTGTAATCTAAAGCAGGATGCAGTTCCACCGGGGCTGCTTTTCTTCCTCTTTAGAAACGCGCTCCGTTTCCGAGTTGCATTTGGAGTCTCGGTGCAAATGCCAGTTGCAGAAACCAGCCTGGCGCTGGTGCAGGGCGAAGCAGCCCATGCGGGYGCTGCAGAACCGCCTCCAACGCGGCAAACGGGCCGTTTGCTTCTCCTCTTACACAACCCTCGTGTTGCAAGCGTCTCCGGGCGGTTAGGAAAGAACYGTGCCGGGGAGGCCGGGGCCCCCGCGGCTCCCACGTGCTCCATCGGAGCACGTTTCCCTATGGAAGGAGCYGCTTGGGCAGCGGGCGGAGGCGGACGAGACAAAAACGCCCCCGGTCATCCCTGCAATTCGCGGCTGGACAACGCTCTCCGAAGGCCGTTTGACCCAAATGCAGCGTGTGGAAAGGCTCCAGGGGAAGCCCTTGCTCGGGGCGCAGCCGGAGGTAGGTGGCAGCAGCGGAGCGCGCTGCTCGCAGAGCACGGAATGCAAACCAGTCCAAAGGGATTTCTCTGCTGTACGGGAACGGCTGCGGATAAACCTCGGAGATGCAGGATTTCCCGGGCATCCCGGCTCACTTCCAATACCCTCAGCCTAATCCCACTGCCCCGGCCACGCAGATCCAGCAGCAGGTTAAAAGGTCCCTGCTAGCAGGGCTGCAGGTGTTTAAAGTCAGCCTGCTAAAATCAGCACCTGCCTTTAATGTCTAATTGTGTGCAGGGTCTTTYGGAGGAACCATCTCGACTTTTTGTGCAATTTTAAGCACTACTGTGATGCTGCAGATCACAGAGGCTACTCAAAAGCACAAGAAAGTTGGGAAGAGAGTAAGAGAACCGAGAGATCTGTCTCACGGCAAAGTCTTTTGCTTGCCAGAGAACTGCAGGGCCAGGTCTGAAGCGGGCTGGGGAACGCAGGCACTGGGAGAGGAAAGGGGGGTACTGCACACTGAATCCCAAGGAAAAGGAGTAAAAAAAGAGGCTTCTGCTGTATCCACGGCGATGTTTTCTCTTTAAGGGGAAGAGGGGAAGCAGCCACCCCTGGCAGCAGCTGCGGAGCAATGTAATCCCCTGCAGATCACAGAAACTATTGACCTAATAACCGTGCTGGGCATTGCAAACCGCGCGGGGCAAGAGGCCAGGCGCGCTCGCCRGCCCCCTCATTCCTGCCCCGGGCGGCGGCTCCCGGCGTGGGAGGCAGCCGGATCCAAGGAGGGATCCAAGGAGCCAAGCAGGGAGGATGCCGAGCGCTGGGAAACACGCGCGCACCGAGCCGGGGTCGCCGGCACCAGCGGCGGGTCCCTTCGGGTCGCAGCTCGTTGCAAAGGCAAAGTTTAATATTTTCAACGATTTGCTGAACCAAACTCGCTGCTCTCCGGCCATTCCAGGCAAGCTCATCAGCATTCACCTGGCAGCAGGGCCAATTTCCTACGGCTGAGAAAGGCCACGCGACACCATCTACGAGCCTTTATATAATCAGGCACTTTCCAAGGGAATTAAAAAACCTGCAGCCCATTACAGTCATTCAGAAGAGCATAAGGAAGGAATATTTAGCAACTCCGTATTTGCTGGCACAGGAAAATCGTTCTTCAAAGAGAACATCAAGAAGAGGCCACAAGAGGTATCAGCCCCTGCATTTTAAGTCTTCCTAGGGCAGGTTGGAGATGGGGACCCCCCACTCTCCACCTCTCCCCATGCTCTTTTTACCCTCTGCTTCCAAATAATTTCTGCATTTCAGKTGCAACAGCTGGAGCATTAAAGGAATGGTGTGGACCCACCTGGGTCCACATGCCCTGCAAATACCTGAACCTCTAGAGCCCTCCAAGCAAAGCCCAGCAGTGTAAGATGCCTCTCTCCCAGTCCCCTATTCCTCTAAATTAATGATCTCAAACACCATCCCTGATCAACAGTTATATGGAATTTGCAGAGTATTTCCAGCTCCTACAAATCTGGGGTTTATCCGTATGAAACGCTTTGGAATTGCACCGCCAGCAATTCCCAGTCAGGCTGCAGGGAACCAACCCGCTCGCGTTGGGAAGTGCAGCAGCATTTCCTGGGCACCGCCTTTGTGGATGGTTTTAGCCGAGGGATAATCCCACAGATGCTCAAACTGTTAACAACCATGGGCAAGGAGAGACCGGACAAAAACAGGCAGATGGAAGAGCTGGAGGAGCTGGAGGGGCGCAGGGCAGGGGGTTCTGCTCTCTACCCATCTAACTGATGCTGCTGAGACCTAATGCAGTRGAGAGCAAGGTTTTAAACCCTCGAGAGCAAAAGCACAGACAGTCTTTTAAAATATATATTTTTTTCTAAGAAACTGGCACTTTTACAAAAAGCCACGTGATTTTCCCCTATCACATCCCTGTTTTTCTCCCTTCCCCTTTGTTAGCAACGCAGGGCTCAAAGCCGATGAGCWACCACATGTCCTTCAGAACACGCTGAGCGTATTCAGCAGCAAGCTGCTCAGGAAGCAGGACTCGGGGATCTTTATTAACGAAAAGCAAAGGAAACAGGATGCTGAACTACCAGTGCCAGGACAGAGAAGCAATCAACGGTGGGAAGCCTCGTTAGCTCCTCCGTTCCTCCCGGATAACCCAGGTTGTTCTGCACGTGTGCCGACCAGCCCAGTTTTAGGTGTCCCAAATGATCTGGAATGTATCATTGCCCACCAGAAACTGATACCTACCGCAAGGCTCAGCTTATTCCCTCCCCCCTTGCTTTCTCCATCACTGCTGCATGCACTGAACTGCGCTGCATCTCCGCTCTGCACCTAACACAGCGTTTTGTGKGTCCACAGGGTTTTGTGGGTTCTGTTCGTCCCCAGCACCTGGGGGACAGACAGACACCTCGGGGACAGACAGAGCGCACCCTGCACGGCTGCAGGCTGCGACTCCTGCTCTAGACACACTTGGTCTCTGCACCGGCGGCGGTTGGACAACGCGTCACCGAACGCGCTGGTTTTGCTGCATAATTCAATCCCTCCGGAGCCTTACAACATACTCCTCATTGCACTCGGATTAGGGGTTTATTTTGCCTCCAAGAAGGCAGCTCTGGGCCTGAGCTTCATGTGCTGCTGCTCATGTTTCAGGGTGCGCGCGCTCGGATCCCGGSCCTTCTGGATTCCAGCTTCTGGAGGGACATTCCAGCATCCTGCACAGCTTAGCTCTAGTCCAGTAGCGAGCGCTACAAACACAGAAGCCTGTTGTTTCATTTAATATTAAATATAGCACATTTTGTTAACATGCTTCAGCTTCCAAGACTGAGAGATCACAAGCAAGAGCTGTCCCAGGATTAGCCTCTCGGGATGAGTCCCCTCCCAAACATTTTAACGATGAACAGAAGCAAAGGAATTTATCTGACATGATCTATAATAAGATTTCAATATAACATTCAGCCTACAGCATTTCTAAATATGGCCAAAGATCACCGAAGTTATTTGGCATTATTTCATCTCACAAGGATTTTCTTTCACTTATTCTGCTGTGTTTGCATACACAGGATTCCACATCCATCACTGAGCAAGGTCAGCTATTGTTCAGTGGGCTCCGGCAGAGGTGAAACGGGACTCGGGAGCAAGGTTGGCAGGTGCAAAATTTGGATTTTTTTTTGAGTTTTGACATCTCCTCACACCCTGTGCATTAGGAAAAAAACAGCGTTGCCCTTAAATGAGGGGCTGAAGCAATTCTGACAACAGACAGAGCTGTCCTGCTCTGACGCCAGGCTCCTGTCGGTGCTCGCCACGCCAGCCCGCGCATCGCAGCCACCTCTGTTCTGCAAAGCGCTGCAAGCAACACGTCAGCACCCACCAGCAGCCCTGCAGACACCACACAGACCCCAAGGGAAGGAAAAATAGGGGGGTATTTGGAGATAAAACCAGAAATATGAAAGGCCAAGCTGGTCGCATGAAGTTCGATCTCAGTGTGAAGGGACCAGAGCTCCAGCGCTGCCTCTAACGCTCCCAGCCAGGTCACAACGCCCAGAACGTCCTCAAATCCCTGTTCCCAACACGGCCCCTTCCCCAGCGGGGTTAGGGGAGAGCGCCTGCCCTCCCAAACCCGAGTGCCCCCCAGGGTGCCGCTTTTCGGGGGGCAAASCTGGCGCCCCGGGACACACAACGGGATCTCACCATGACAGTGCAGTCCTCGGAGCCGCTGGCGATGACCTGGTCGTTGTGGGGACACCAGTCGATGTCCAGCACCGGGCCCGTGTGGCCGCAAACTGTGGGGTACGACTTGTCGATTCTGCCCGTCTGCAGGGGAAAGAGCAAAGGAGAGGGCTGTGATATAGAGAAAATAAAGCACTGCCTTCCAAAGCGGTTACAAGCACTAAACTCGCAAGGCTGCAAAAGCAGCCGCCCCAAAAAATAAAGTCCCTCTAATCCCTCCTGGATGCCACAGCATGAAACGGGATTTATAAAGCGAATGCACCCAATGCACATGTACACTGCATCCCTTTTTGTTTATCTAATTAAAAAGAGGTGCCYGGAGCACGGGTGTCACTGTGCAGAGGGGACAGCGGGACTGGGACGCTGCCCTCGTGCCCGGCGGGGCTTGAACCACCTCGCAGCACTTACCTGCTCGGCCTTGGCCGGTGGGGTAGGGCGGCCGCTGCAATTTATTACGGGAAGGGGGCAATTTGAAAAAAAAWGAACCATAAAATTCACTTCTTGGTTTTGATCATGATAAATCTTAGCAGAGATAAAAAAAAAATGTGTCTTTTAGCAGGGGGAAAAAACAGCCAGAAAGGGAAGAAGGGGAGATTATTTACAAGCCACAAGTGAGATACAGCCATGAAGTTCAAGCAAACCAAGAAATATTTATGCTAAAAGATCCGCAGCACGCAGCAAACTTGCTTTAAAATATACCTGGGCGATTCCTGTATTAAAACACGATTCTTGTATTCAACTCCCTAGCCAGGGAGCCAAGGGCCAGGCTCTGCCCAGCCGCCGAGACACCAAATTCCAAGTTTTTCAGGCAGTTCTTTGCAAAACCCCCATCTCTGCCACAAGCGAGCACCCGAGAGTTTGCAAGCTCCGTGCCAAAGGGGTGGCCTTCCCTCCTGCCCTAACCCTCACACTTTWGTTTTGTTTCCATGTAATCTTTTAATTAGTTAAGGATTTAAAATAAATCGCAAGTGCTGATACACAGCTTAAAAGTAACTGGGTCTGACTACCAGAAGTTAAATCCTTCTTATAATCCATCACTCTGCTGCCTGAGCAGCACATCACAGTAACAGCTTCTGATATGCCGAGGGCTGGGGGCTCTTTTTGCCCCTCCAAAATCCCTGCAAATCCCTRAGCTGAGTTGGGTTTAGTGCCCCAAGATATTGGGGTCCTTTTCACGCCCACCGGAGGCTTCGTGCTCTGCACCAGGCKCTTGCACCAAGCGGAGCTCCCTGCAACGTGTCCTGCCCGGCTGCAGCTTCCAGGGACGCTGCACTCCCCAAAAGTGCCTGTTCCGCCCCAGAATCCTCCCCAAAGCTGCGCGCAGCTACGTGCACAGCATCACCCAAAGCAAACCAGGCACTCTTGGTATGAGAGAACGGCTCCTCCAATGCAGCTAACATCCCTACCAATTCCTTGGGAAAAGAAAGGAGGAATGCACTCCAAAAAATAAATTTTGGTCCCAGCTGATTCGTAATTTGTTCAAGCTTTTGGGGGCAGAACCTGCAAAATTGCAGAACCAGAGAAGGGAGCAGCTGTGCAGAGATGGTGCAAAGATGCTAGGGATGGGGATTCGCTCCTCTGTCCCTAAAACATGAGTGGAAAGCACCCGATTCCCTCCCTAGCCACAGGGACATCCAGCCTTTCACGGAGCAGGAATATTCACCAGCACCTTAAACCTTGAGCGCTCCGAGAGGAGAACGAACAGGGTAAATTTGGAGACATCCCCCAAAAGACTCCATCATACTCCAACTATTTCTGCTAAACTCATTTTCCTCCTGGATCTAACCAGGATTTCAGCTTAGCCAGAAATTGTAGGTGCCTAAACTAGGATTTGACCTCCTCTTTTCCACGTCTGCTTATAACCAGAGTTATCAAGGGCTGTTTCTACTTTCCCCCTTTTCCACTAGGCTTTAAAAGTGCAGTTTTAACCTTGATTCCCACCTGGGACAGGGCAGCACTGGTCTGAACGGGGCACAATTGGGTTGCTTGGCTTCCTGGAGAAACGGGGGGAATTTAGGGCCCATTTCACCTCAAAACACCTGGTGTCTGATGAGCCACTGCTGCCAAATTTGACAGGGGCAAAYGTCTCAAAGAGGGGTTTTTTAAATCACCTCTTTGAGATGACTGAAGGTAAAATAACTCCAAATTGATGTGCCCCACGGAAGAAGCAGTTATGAAGAGTTATAATTCAAGCTGAATGACAAAGGGAGGGAAGATGCAGATGGAGCTGGGGAACATTCACTCCATGCTCACACRGGCTGGTAAATAAATGGAATAAATCTGCAAGAAAAGGGGCTTTATCAGTGTGGCTGCTAACCRAATGACTTAAGAGTTTTGAAGCTACCAGTGTCTCTGCAACAACTGAATAAAAAAATATGGAAAYATCTCTGTAATTCTCTAATTCTTCAGTCTAGCACACAAAGCTACCCAGAACGGTGTTGCAATGAGACAAGCAGTGAGGAAAGCCCCGTCCTTCCTTCCGCCGAGCACAGTGGCACTGTCACCAAAGGGGACCTGCAGCAGCGGCCGAGGCTCAAGCAGCACAACCCCAATAAGCACCAGGTCCTTTAAATCGAGCTTCTCCATCCACATGCACCCAGAGCTCCTGGAAAACCCAATGAAGCAGCAGCTCCTGCCTGTATGCGCCACACACCATKCAGGAAAGCACCCCCTTTCCAGCCTTTCCTGCAGGAATGAGGTTCCAAAGAGCCGATTGAGACTGTGCCCCGCTGCTTGCAGAACCACATCTGGCTGCACAGAGCGCGTCCTCAGTGCACGTTCCCACCCACAAACAAGGGAATTGTCACTCGGGGCTCCCTCCCTCGGCACCTGGTGGGTCCAAATGATGCTCCCTAGTTTGGTTCTCTGGTTTCTGCACCTGCACTGACATAAATTAGAGGTTTTTAACCTGCGTTTCTCTCTGATGGAGGATGAGGCTTTCCTGGGAGCAGGTCACCTGCTGGAACCGCGATTTTTAAGGAGGCGGCGGCTCCCCCCGGCCAGCGGAAGGGCCCATTCCTGGCAAAACCCCCGCGCACGTGCAGGCGACAAACAGGAACCGGGGACAAAGCGCGTCCCGTGCCCGCGCCAGCCGCGGGGGCCCGGGGCTCCCGCCACGGCCGCTCCCGCCACCGCGCCGCGCGCGCGCGCCCCGCGCCCGCCAATCAGCGCGCCGGGCGGCGCCGCGCGCTGCATGCCCATATAAGGTAAAAAGCCGCGGCCGCCGCAGTGCCGCTGCGGCGGGCGGGCGCGCGCGCGGGAAAAAAAAGGGGGGGGGGGCGGGAGCGCGCGTGGGAAGCACCTGCAGGGGCGCGGCGCGAGCCCCCCACACACGTGCACAAAGATGCACGTATAGGTAACATCTGTATGTATATATTGCACACATGCACTCTTTTAGAAGTGTAAATACGCATATATACACATATGCGCAAAACAAACATTGTATACATATATAAATCTAATGAAGGATAAATATAAATGCATATGATAAGCATATATATATATATATTTACACACACTGTGCGTGCGTGCATGTCTTATCGGTGTCCTCCGGAAAAGGAAGACCTCGTTTTTCTCCACAGCTGTACTGGGAGGGGTGCAGGGAGACCCCAACCCTTCTGCTTCCGCACCCGGCACCCCGGGTTGTTGCATTAAGGCTTTTCCCCGGCTGCCTCCAGTGCCCCGTTCCTGGGGACTCTACAGGGAACCGCTCCAGGGGACCCGAAAGCCACCCCCACGATAGCAAAAAATGTATTAAAGCTTGGAAAGGAGAAAGGCATTAAAAAAGAAAATCAAACAACTCTCATTTCGTGACCACAGGGGCTCAGCTGCCCCTCAACGAGGCCAAGCCACATGAGAGGTGCTTCCCCGTGACCCGCTGCCACCTCAGAGTCCCCAGGCCACCAAGGGGCACTTCACTGCAGCCGCCTTCGTGCTCCCAATTGCAACCAGGGGGTTTTTATGGCCCCGTGACGAAATCCCACCATAAACAGGGCTTAAAATCAACCTCCTCCCGAACGCAACAGCAAGGATCTTGGTTGCGCCTCTRATGCGGAAGTCAAACTGCTGGTGGGTGCAGGGAACTGAAGAAACCGTTTCATCAACCCAGGATATAAAAATAGGGAATACAGGAACTGGTTAGAGCAAAGGCAGCCACGTGCTGCAGAGCAAAAGAGAGGGTGAGGGGCTCGGCCCCAGCCCTGGTGCAACCTGCCGTCAGACCTGGCTGCGCATTAATATCAATCAAACAGCTCCATGCAGGAGCAGAATGGGATGACAGAAAGGAAGGGGAAATCGTGGAAAACAARCACCAGAGGACACGGAGTGCAGATCCCACACACACGTGGGATGAGTGGGATTTCCTGCCTTGTCACCGCGCTGCAACGTGGGCATCCCGGGCACGGGGCAAYGCGCTGCCGAGCTTGCTCATGCCACGGAAGGGAAGGGCAGCTGCTTATATTGAAGGATAATCTTGGGACAAAAGAAAAAATGGGGAGGAAAAGCCACATTTACRTCAGATTGAAGACAAAGATTCTGGCCGTGAGAGGAGCGAGGTTCTGGCACAGCCTTCCCCTGGAAGTGGTGGGTAAGGACAAAAAAAAAAAAAAGCTAGTTTTAAAATAGGGCAGTGTAAGAAAGGACTTGCTGTTGTGGTGGCTGCTAGACCCAGAAGGTCCTTCCTGTGCTCGGCTCCTGTGCCCCTGCCCGGCCACGCTCCGTTTGGGTCGCTATTTCAGTGTATAAATAGGGCAGATCTACAAATGGGGCTGGMGGAAAAGGACAGGGCTCATAACTAAACACTCTAAACATCTTCAGTTAAGTGAGAAGCTTGAGGGTTCAAGGATATAAAGGTAATGCTGCAGAGAAACACTATTTGCTATTAAAAAAAGAAAGAAAATGTGGATATTTGCAAAGGTAAGAGCTCTCCCAGATGCTTCTTAGGCCACTTCTTTCCCTTGACCTGTTTGTCTTCTAAGTTGCATTAGAAGTTGTTTGTGCATCTAGTGCCCAAAGTTGCATTAACGGAAGTGAAAAAGAAGTTACAGACAGGAAGCGTGTGCATCTGAGCTTGCTGCTTCTGCTTTTTAGCAGCCAGCACACGGAGGCCTCAGGTTGACCAGGCTCCTCCAGAGACCTGTAAATTGGCATTTGGAGACCTGCCAACTGACTGCACTAACAGTCAAGACATCAGGAAGGGAGATGACAGCGTTTCGCTCCAAAAAGGCTGAAAAAGGGCTCGTTTGGGATATTTCAAAGGGCTGTATGGAGGCTGCAGGAGTTTATTTCATGGGCGGCGCTGCTCCTGCTCATTCATACGTTTTGCAGGACTGCAGGAAGCCGCTCCGCGTCGCAGCGCTGCCAACGACGGCAACCCGAGCTCCCCGTGTGCTCCGTGCACATCCCTGTGGATCCACAAACGAGTCCACAAACGAGCCCTGGGATCCTGGAGCACAGACGGGTGTGATGCTACTTAGGGCTGTTTTGCTGGAATTATTTTTCATTATACCAGCCTATAGCAAAAGGAAGCAAATTAAAGGGTAGCAGCAGCCCGGCCCGGTTCTGATCTAGCACCAATTAGCTGTTTAACCACTAATGCGGTGTCGCAAGCAGTAACGAGGCTCAGGTGCATCCTGCATTTAAGTGATACTTGCAGAGCTCAGGAAGCTAAACCCCTGACACTGAAGAACCCAAACATGCTCTCACGGGTAGAACGGCTTCAATGGAGCATCTCTCCACTAAGAAATCTCTGCCGTGTAGGATTGGTTTAGGTTTCTCAAGCAAATAACTTTTATTTACCGTGTTTAATTTAGGGGAAGCATCAGATTGATTATGGAGACGTTTCATGGATGTGCACGGGGTCATGAAGCAGCCGGCAGAGACACTTTGGGATATCGAGGAACAAGCGACAYGACCCAAAGCGGAGAGCCCAGGAGGGAGCAGCTTCCCGAAGCACCTACCTTGTGCAAGGGCAGCACCATGAAGGCCCCGCCGCCGCTGGCCTCTACAATTATTGCCACGAATCTGGGGTTGACGGCGCAGAAGGAGCTGTCCCAGGTGACGCGGGACACGCGGATGTCATCGTAGCACTGGTCGTTCTTCACGGCCTGGCCGAACACGTGCCGGAATTTGCTCTGCCGAACCACTCGCCTCATGGTGTCTGCGGAGAGAAGGGGTTAGGGAGAGCGCGGCGCGGGCGGCCGAAGCGCGCGCCGGAGCGGCCCCGCTCACCYGCGCGCTCCATCGCGCAGCCGCCCTGCTCCCTGCAGCCCGCTTTGCACTTGCAAAGTTCTCAACCCGATTTGCATCTCTATCCCACCCCACTTTCTTTTTTTTTTTGCTTTTTTTCCCCCCCAAGCTTTTGTTCTTGCAAGCTGCGCAACAGAGCTTCATTCTAGGAGGGCTTTACAGAACCAGCTAAGTGCCACTTTCTCCCTTGTAAATATATTTTCTTGCTACAGGAAAGGAAATTCCTCATGCTACAAGACGTTTTTAGACAAGTCTCTACATATTTGCAAGGATAAGGCTGCTCTTGGATGGAACTTGTTTATTTTCAAGTCAGACAGGGTCCAGAAGATGTAAATAAAGTTGCAAGCTCTGCAAAGGCAGCGCTCCTGTGAAGCGGCTCCACGTGGGAGCTGCCTCCCAGGTCCTTCTTCTAATTCCAAGAATCTCACCAAAAAATAGYAAAATTAGCTTCCTGGGCAGAAAGCAGTAATGGAAACAAACTAATGCCTCAAATTAACTCGACGCATCGGTAATGCTTCTCCCCCGGAGAACGTGGATATCAAGGAAACTTGGGTCAGGATAGAGGGGAACGGGTTGGAATGGAAAATCCCAGCGCGGGGAATCCCGGCAGGCGACGTGCGTGGCATGAACCAAGCGGGAGCCTCGGGATGCGGCTCATCCATCGCTAAGCGCGGAGCCTTCTCCGTCTTGCAGCCTGCGACGTGGGAAGCAGCAGCGACAAAACGCTGCGCGGGGAGAGCAAAGCGCTGACAAAGAGGCCGTCACCGCGCGCCTTTGAAGAGGAGGAAGACGCTGCCAGGCAGTTAGGGGAGCAGACAGCGCCAGGGCGCGCGCCGCGTAAATGCACGTGGTGAATGCAGTGGTTGGGGGGTCCCTGCTGCGCGGGGACATCTGTCCCTCCCGGGCGGCTCCGGCCACCTTCTCCCGTGCCCGGGTGACCCGAGCTCCGTGTCCTGCTCCTGCCAAGGGCTCCGGGTCTCATTGCTGTCACCCAGGAGGGACCGGAGGTTTTGCAGGGTTTTTGTGCACGAGAGCAAATGTTTTGTGCACAGCACAGAGCAAGTGTTAACTGCACAGTGTTGTGAACTGGGGTACTGGAGACCGTGCACATGACGAAAGCTTCCTGTGCTGCTAATGGTTACCATCGTGATTAGCAACCACCCTCCACATTTAAAAGCCAAATACTTCACCTATGGCAAAAATAAAGAGCCTCCTCCCGACGGGAGCCACCCAAGACACCAAATGCAGGAGGAAGCGGCAAGCAAAAAAAGGCGAAAACCAACCAAGCTCAACCAAAACCACGGTGCTTTAAAGGAAACAAGGTCCCACACCCAGCCGCTCGTTTCTGTAGGGCCAGGCCGCTTCCACGGCCACGCGGCTCCGCGCRGACGGTGCCGCTCCGGAGTGGTCCCGGCGCGGAGCAGGGTCCGGGGCCGCCGCGCAGGCGCCCGCGGGGCTGCCGGCCAGTGCCTGGGTCGCGTTCCTGCAAGGGGAAGGTTTCTGCTTCGGGCACAGGGTGGTTTCCATAGGATCTCAACACTCAGCAACGCTGCCAGCCCGCTGTGTGCCCAGGCTGAAATGGGATGGTTTGGAGGAAGGTGAAAGGAGGGCTCAAACCCGCCTTGCTGAGCCAACAAGCACTGAATCGCCCCGTGTCCATGCCACGGATGCAGCGGGTTGGGATCTGTCTGCATTAGTGCTTGGAAGGTGGATGCRATAAGTTAGAAACACAGAGGATTATTTGTACAGTTTGGTTGATTTTTCCTTCCTTCGCTTGATGGGCACCGGGACACCGAGCACACGCATGGGCAAAGAGCACAAGCTCCTGCAAAAACAGCCAGCCCAAGCCTTATCAGGAGAGGCAGCCCGCAAGCGCGAGCCCTGCCACCCTGTGCATCCCCACGGCACAAACACCCCGGCTCCGCTGCACTGCTGCCACGTTTTGTCCCCCATTTTACCCCTGTTTGGAACGGGCACCCAACTCGGCTCTGATGAGGGCCTCCTAAAATGCAGAGGGTCCCAGGGGCTCCCTRAAACACCCGGTTTGCTCAGAAGCAATTTCTGGAGGGCACCTTTGCCGCCCTCCTCGCCACGCGCGTGCTCGGCACGACCCACACATGGCGAGCAGCCTCCACATCCTCCTTTCCATGGCAAACGGAGGGATTCTTGCCTTTGGATCACAGCCGCGCAAGCTGGCTGCTCTCCAAAGGGAAGGGAAAAAAGGCTCCCATGCCGGCTGCAGTTGGAGAGAGCAGGGACGAGGCGTCTCTCGGCGCGCACAACGCAGGTGGAAAACAACACAGGGTCCTGAGCGCCAAAAATACCGAGTTTTCTCCTCCCTACCCCCAGCTCCTGTTAGAAGGGGAAGAACATTCAGTATCTGGACTTGCTTCTCCGTTGGTGCCAAGGATCCCTCCTCCACAAGGTGCAGGCGGAGGTTCGGCGCCCGCGGATGGGACGTGCTGCAGATGGAGACGCGGCAGGGACACAGTCCCGCTCCGCACACCCGCTTCGTTTCCCACTCGCGGGGCTCTAAAACGAGCCTCCAGCATCTGATTCACCAGCTGAAAAGCCCGATTCAGCCGCTACCCTGTGTGCAAAACCCGGCAAGAGCCGGCTAAGCCGGGGCCAAGGCTGCGGGAAGCGCCGATCCCGGCTGCGGGAAGCGCCGATCCCGGCGCACGCGCTTGGCACGGGGCGGCGGAGCATCCCCGGGTGCTCTGTGCTCACTGGCTTCACCCACCGCATGACTTAGGGGCATGGAGAGAGGTCTTAGAGCAGCACTTTTCAGAAGGGAAGTCGCATTCGCTCGTTGCYCCCGCTGCTAAATCTTGACTGAAGCGGCTGGAACCATCAGCAGATAGTTGCTAAACAGGAAACATCTTTCTCAGCACAGAACAAGTTGAGAGGATGTAAAACCTCACCGCAGAGCGCTGGAAGGGGGGTGCGTTTTGCTGGTTCTCAGCAAAACCGAGCGCGCCCTGCAAAGAGCTGCCCTGCAAGCGCTGACGCCCGCGAGCGCGCTGCACCTCCAAACACGGCCAGGGCGCCTTCCTTTTGCACCAAAGAGCCCTTTTTTCTCCAAAAAAGTCAAGTGACTTTGGGCTGAATTTCGCCTCCCGTTGCACGGCCCGGGCTCTGGCCGCTGCGCCGCTCTTTAAAGGCATCTTGGAGAGCGCCCCGAGAGCGGCGCGCACAGAGCCGCCCTTCATGGCTCGGCKCTCTGATCGCCCGCCACGACGTGTCACAAGCGCGGCCACGAGCTCGCCCGTTTTCCTGTTTATAAAGGGTTTATCTGTGCGGAGCACCCAGCAGACGCAGCGCTGCGGCTTCGCAGGGTTTGCAGGCTGCTTATGCAAGAGGAAACGCATCCTGCGAGGGAACACTTGCAGGAAAACCCCCCGGGAATGGCCGGATCCTGCTGCGCCCGCGGGAGCGAGCCGCTCCGCGGAGCGGCACCGGGAGGAAAAGGCTGCTTTAAGTCACAATTAGCCAGGGGCTACGTTAAAATAAAGGGGAGGGGGAAGAGAAGATATCAATCAGCTAGATAGGGAACTGTACTTCCTTATGAAACGGTGCTAATCGGCACTGGAAAGGGCCAGGGCTTGCCCTTAAATGGAGAGCTCCAGCAAGATGGGAAGAGCTGCATCTGTTTATGGTAAGGCCCTCAGCCTCCATCTAAATGAGACTTATTGAGGAGGCACCGTGCGCTGTGACGGCGGCTTTGAACTGCGCCGTTTACGGGCGGAGAGAACTAGCAGCAAATGAGAAGCAGATAAGGGAAGAAAAATAATAAAAGAAGGCAAGACGCACGATAGGTAATGGCAGCAGCACCAAAGATGTGTGATACCGGGGACACTGGCTTGTGAGCAATGAGACTAGGGGAGAGGACAGTCTCAGTGGGGCAGGAGCTGCTCCGGAATATGGGATTTTCCATGTCTTTGCTGGCACAGGGAAGCCCTGCTGCCATTCCAAGGTCTTTCCAAGCACCTGCCTTGTGATTCTGGAGTCTAATCCATGCGAGGGGGGAGTTCTCAGAGCTTACCCTGAAAGACCACAGTCAGTCTGCATCACCCTACAGCAATAATGATTCCACAGGTATTCCCAYGTGGGCTCCCAGCCCGAGGCTCCTCACGGCGCGCTGATGATGACGATGATGCCCTTCCTCCGAGCGCGGCGCTCAGCCACATCTGCGCAGCAGTTGCACCTTATGGGGATAAGCACCAGCAAGAAAGCCCGCGGGAATCCAGCCATCCGCCCTCCCAAACGCTTTGAACATCATCTGGTAAATGAGGTGCAGGGCCACACGTGGCGGGGAGGCCGAGGCAGCCTTGGGGGGTCCCCATCTCCGGCACCCCCGGCTTGCAGAGGCAGCGAGCGCCCAGGCGGTGCCGGGAGCCCGCGATCGTGGCCCTGGGAGCCGCATCCCGGCGCGCACGCCCAGGGCAGCAAAGCAGCGTTACCCAGGTATCTCCCCATCACTYCACTTCAGCACTTCCCAACTGCTTCATTTTAGCATTTCCCAACTGGGGCGCGCTCGGTTTCCCAACCCGGGGCCGCTCCGCGCGGGGTGCCCAGCGCCCCAGCCCAGCGCCCCGCGGCCTCGCCGCCCCGCACACGCCACGTCCCCACGCGCCTCAGGAGCATCACTCATCCCGATGTCCCGGGGCACAAGTTTTCCAAGAAAAAACAAGGAAAGAGAGAGGACACCCATGAGGGAGCAGGGTACTGAGCTGTGCGCGTGGCGAGGATGAAGGAGAGAATCAGGCCTTCGAAATGGAGCACCCGTGGGGCCGTAAACACAAAGTAGGGGGGGAGAAAACGGGGAGAAAACGGGGAGAAAACGGGGAGAAAACGGGGAGAAAACGGG